ATATTTCAGACAGCCTTTGGTTGTGAATAACACAGCTGGTATCAGTGCCATCTTTAAAAAACCCATTGCAAGAGCCTCAGTAAGTGATGGAAAGCTACCCATTCTGTACTCCATTTCAGATAATATAAAGTCAGCTTAGTCTTTTGAAGGAAAATCCGCTGTACTTTCCCACGTAAATAACTACACAGTGAGACAGCTGAAATATTTTTAAACAACGATGTTTTTAAAAAATGATTTTTAAACAACACGTCACTGAAAGTGTTTGTTGTCACATATTGGCAGTTGGATACCTGATAAGCTGTCCATGATTTCAGAGGGGAAAAATACTCCCCACGGCTGTAGGAGTTTCTGTTTATTCTTGTTGTGGAAATGTCAGTAGAAACATTCTAAGTGTCTGTACCCCTCTAAGGAAATGCTTCACCAAAACTTATCTTTTATAAAACAAGAAAACACTCTGAGGGTAGAAAAGGCTTCATTTATTGTGTAAATATCCCTTATCCTTTGAGTAAATAATAGTCTTTCAATGGCTGTTTACAGAATGCTTGGTACTGTACCTTCACTCAAGCTTTTCCCTGTTAAAACTGAGGATTGTAGCAATGTTTATTTACACTCCATCAGTCAAACTGAATCACCTAATGACCTGCAAATAGCAATAAAGAAGCCTTATTGCTTGTCAGCTGTTTGTCTCTGTATTTAATAGCAGAGACAGTTGCAAAGATCTTAACCTTTACTCTGGTCCTGAGTCCCCGCTTCCCCTCACTTCCCCCCAGTCATTTAAAACATTATCATTAACGTAAAACAACCCAACATCATTCACAATGAACATACATTTCCATTCCACGAAGTACTTGTGTTTTAACGAACAAAATACGGTTTCCCAGCAGCAGGTGCTAACATCAAAATGAAAAATTAAATCATTACATTGTATATCTGTCTTCAGGAGGATAAATTGAAAACAGGTTTTACGAAAAACTCCGATATTATCTTGAAACACTCATTTGTTTTTAAAGGTATATTAAATTTCATGGGGTTTCTAGTTTGCTTGAGGTATTTCAGAACTGGTTGGGGAATACGCAGGGCAATGTTATTCTAAGCAATTACAACATTCTCCTGCCAAAAGTGTGACCTGTTGATAGCTATAAGGAGGTGCAGTTTGATCCCTCTATCCTCTGTCATTCTGGAAAAGCTCAGACAGTAATTAGAAAGCTTCTAATTTCCTGTCTTTTATCATTACATATAAAAATTAAAGGCAAAATCTGAAGCCAAGGGAATCTATTCTTAAGCTCTGATTCTGCAGACCCTGACTGTACTTACCTAACCTTGGTATGTAGGGCAATGCTCAGTGTCTGAAATCAAGTAAATACACAAATCTAAATTTAAGGGAGAAACTGAAACTCTAGTTTATTCTTATCAGTAGTTGCCTTTGAGTAATAGTCACGATCAACAATGGCAAAGTCAGTCCATGAGGAAAGTGTTTTTTCTGTGATGGTTACTGTCATCAAATCGACATAGTTAACAAAGTGCATCTTCTGAAGTGTAGGCCAACGATCGCAGCAATCTGATGCAGGTTGAGGAAAGCTCCAACACAGGGAGGTGATTGAATTGTTTTTTAGATGAGAGGTATACACAGTTACAGAGCTACAAGGGCAGTCAAATACTATGAATTTTATTTTGTTCTCTTGATGCAAGATCTTTTACTGATGGTTTTACTTCTTGAAAACTTCTGTATGTTTTATTCTGAAGAATATAACCCATCAAATTAGGAGTAGGAATAAACCTATGGGTGATAAAGTCTTTACTACACAGTTGTATCACCTCTTGTAGATGTATGTGAGGATATTCTATAAAAATGAACAACTTTGGTTTTCTGCTTTGAATGCAGTGAGATTAAAAGCACCAGATCTGCAGGCCTACGGTTACAGCTTTAGAATAAGGAATCACACAATTATATCAGGGTATGGCTGTGCCTACATAAACGTATCATAAAGGTTTTGAGTACAAGCTTTCTTTTCAAGCACGCTAAATTTGCATCACACAGTGCATCTTGTTAGGCATTAAGCTACTCCACAAGGCTTTTTAGTGCTTACACCATTTTTTACCTAGTTGGCATGCACAGTGCTATATTAGGGTTGTCTTCGTTAAGAAATGAGCTAGAAATGAGTTTCTACGGTTTGATTCTCGCCTTCTCTACCCAATTCATGGATAGACAATTCTATAAAATATGGTCCTTCCTCTTTGCTTCATATGTTACACTACTTTTACACTGCACTCTCTGATATATTCTAAGAATCCTGTATCTTCTAGTTACCATGCTTCAACTTTAAGCTCCCTTTGACCCACCTTATCCTGTTAATGCTGAGTGCTTTCAGCTGTATGGCAGTTACATGCTAACTCAGATCCCTATGCTCATGTGGAAGTCATGTTCTACAGCATTCTCTTGTTAATTAACTTTTGTAATGCTTCCCTGACTAGATAACAGTTTTTGTTTGTGAAAACTCATACTCAAGAAAATCTGCTTCAGAAAATTGCCTTTTTTCTTTTTTTTTAATCTCAGGATCAGTTTTGATAGCTGCGATTGCAAAATACTTCAGGAAGAGGAAAAGGGAAACAGTGCAATATTAAGAGATCAGTAGAGCGACATCCCATAGAAGTAGGCAGGGATGCAGGTGGTCTGGAGAAGGTATTGGTTTTTTTTCCCCTTACTCTTTAGATTTCACTTCTTTGACTTATTTTTGCAAGCTCTAAAAATGAACAGCTCTGGAATTCAATTTCAGGAATTGTGAAGATGGGTCAGTTAAACTGGCTATACAAAAATACTCCTTATTCTCTCTCTCTCTCTATTTTTTTTTATTAAAAAAAAAAAAAAATCTGCCTTTCATATTCTTGAAGACAGTTTGAATGCTTATTGCTTCTTAAAGTTTGGCAGACCACTAAATCAAGAGCGTGAACAGGTCAAGAATGGCTTGTGCATCCTATCCTGGCCTTCAGACAGCTCTTTCTTAACAGAAGCATGGTTTTCCATTCAGACACTACCCTAGTGCCGGAAGGTATCTGCTTTCTTGAAAGAAAGAAAGATAAAGGCTTACCTGCTTCCCAGAAGTGTACTACACACGGAGATAGAGAGGGAAAAGAGTTATGGGCCTCATTCCACTGACATACTAGAAGTATCTGACTGTGGTCGGTACAAGTAAAACCCTTTGCTGTTTCCTTTCCTTTACCTGGTTCCTCACCCACCTCAAAATTCTTGTTATTTATTTATTTCTTTTAACTAAAAACATCTGCTAGCACATTACCTATTCCAGCAAAGACCAGAGAGATGACACGTATTCTAACCCTTCTGTATAGAAAGCCAGTTATCCACAACTGCTTCCAGCTCAGGTTAGCACAGTGTATTCTTGGCAACTATCACCTTTTCAATTTACTCCCTTTCATCCTTCACAAGAGACATTCCCGGATCATGTAACTTTACTAAGTTTAGCCTTGTAAAGAATTTTATCTCAGATACCACACAGAGAAATACAGAACTCAAGTTATTTTATTCAGCTGTCGTGCATCACACAGTGCAGGGTATATTTGCACTCCCCACACAGACAATCAGTCAGATACAAATCCTGGGTGAGCAGAACCTGGTTCTTATTTATCTGTTTCTCTTTTGTTCCTTTGGTGTGGCATACAGAACCGTAACAATGCTTTCTGACTTAAAACCCATAAAAAGCAGCTTTCCAAATGTAGCATGACACAGTAGAACTTTGGGGTAATTTTGTAATTATTGGACTGCCACTACCATTTAATGCATAAATTAAAGGTTTTACTTCTTTCAGGGATACAATACTGCGTATTTCACGGAGGCATTAAGACACCTCGCTAAAACGCCTCACAAAAGATTCTCTTTTCCTTTGGGCAAGCTTTGCGTTGCTTGGCAGAGGCTGGTGTCTCAGAGCAGCAGCTAGCACCAGACTGCGGGAAAGCACTTTCTCTAAGTGCCTGAATGCCTGTGAGAAGTCATCTGATTTACCCGTACTTTGTCGGAAAAAAAA